AAACTGCATTGGCACTCAGCTTAATCCATAATAGGCCACATTGCTTCCAGATTGTCTGCACAAATCCCATTCATCTACCACATCAATTCTAAGGACATTTTAGGGAAGTAAATCAAAACCTTACTTCTTAAACACCAGAGCTTTTACTCCTGATTGTATGTTTGTCTGCGGTCTGTCAGTGCAGTCATATTTCTAAGAGCTGGACAGCTTGCCTGTGTGATGAGAAGAGAGCAACACTAACCATTTGAGGTTCTTGCGTTCAGGGTTGACCTGAGCCTCATTATGGAAGGCTCTGAGTTTGGCCACCAGGTCAGTGGAGTCTTGTGCGGCGTTGACTGCCAGAGTTTTAGGAATGACGAGCAGAGAGCGAGCAAACTCCGCAATAGCCAGCTGCTCTCGGGAACCCTAGGTCAAACACACAACCGTTTTAATAGTTCATTCATACACACTAATTATTAAAAAGCACAACTGCTGTATATTAAAGAGTTGATCAGTGCCCACAACATTTTCCCATTTATTCCCTATTCATTTTCTCAGTATGAAATTCAGTAAGAGCTAAGAACCAAACTAAGCAGATCTAAAAAAAAAAAAAAAACACAAAACTTTGTAAAATACAATATAAAATGAGTTACGTTATAGGGCTGTCAAAAAAAAAAATTGGAATTTTGAATATTCGTCGAATTTAAACAAAATCCACATTCGAATGCCAAAACGTTGCATTCGAATTTTAGTTGTGCGTCAGGCAGCCTTATCAGTGGTGCGCAAGATGCGATGACGATGTAAATGTTTTTCATAGCCTATCCCACATATCCCAGCCTATATTGGAACCCACTGGATGCGGCGCTGCTGTGTTGTTCATTCAAAATATTGCGGAAAAAAAGAGAACCTCAATGCGGAGATGATGCTGTTTACATCAAAACTGAAACCAAGCCGTTCACACAGAACACATATATATCGCATTTTCTAGAGGGACATCTATCACCGTTGCACACGCGTCTCGCACAAGAGAGCTGCTTGTTTAGAAAGCCATGTAAAATTAATTTAAGTTCAACTTTTAAAAAAACATGTCTCCAGACTTTATGCCGGTTTTTCCCCATCCTACGGCATCTCAAGTTTCTAAATGACAAAAGTACTTCTTGTGATTGGTTTTCTGTCCTTGGTATTAAACTATTCATACATACATGATGCTGTTTTGTTTCTAATTGATTAAGCAACTTAATTATATATGGTTTACAAACATTTATTTAAACATTATGCACTTTTTCAAAGATAGTTGTGTTATTTTATTGCTTTGAAGAAACGTGCATTAGTAATATTTTGTTCGATGCGCCCTCTTGTGGCCTCAGGAGAGAAGCCAAAAGCTTTTTACCCCCCCCAACTGAAATTATGCCTTTTAAATTCAAATATAATTCGAATATTGCTAACATTTAAGTACAAAATTCTAATTTAGTTTTTCAGCCATTTTGACAGCCCTATTACGTTATAGGCATGAAATTATTTCAAGTTACTGAAATATGCAAACCGACTCTGCTACAATTCCTGTTTCTGTGGCAACACAGGCCATCCTAATTGGAACTTTTTAGGACTGTATAACTCATTGCAAATTTGGCAAATGGATGTTTCCTCTTAAAAAAATTGGCTACAGCTGAAATCACGCTGATGTCTAGATTCATGGACCTCAGAAGTAGAAAGCTAAGGTAAATCACTACAAACCTATAATCATGAACCGTGATCTGAATTGTCTGTAACAGTTCACACTGCAGGCCTAGTGAGGGTTAATGCGTCTTAATGATAAACGAGGCATGTTTGTTCTGAGCAGGATGGAAGCAGCTGTCAGCAGAGCTGTTTATCTGTCCCTTTCCCCACTCAGGACTCTCACTGTCTCCCACGCGTATAACTGCACAAGCCATCAAACAGGCACGGCAGCAATTATAATGGGAGTGTGCATACATCCAATTGCACACAATACAGAAATATATATATATATATATATATATATATAAAAAACTGGTCTTAACACTAAAATTACAATAAAAGCCTGTCTATCTTTACTAGTTTGTGCATTTATACATCAGCTATAATTGAACTGTCAGTTTGTTACAACGTAGCATTTTACCTAAAAATACAAACAAGACATCAAGAAAATAAAGATCCCAGCAGCTATGAAACAGGGTCCTCACCATGCTTGTAGCATAGTTCTCCAGATAAATGGACAGCGCAGCCTCTACAGCGCCACCTCCTGGTACCACAGACTTGGACTCCAGCACCCTCTTCACCACACACAGCGCATCATGCAGCGAGCGCTCCATTTCATCACACATGAAATCATTCGCCCCACGCAAGACGAGAGAGGCAGATGTGCGTACCTTTGTGCTGAGAGACAGAGAAAACGGCATTTAAAAAAAATACTAAAACGTGATTTTCAAATGCGTTTCCAATGGAAAACACTGCTCAACCATGCAGTTCACAGCAATAGCAGCAGTATTTTTTTTCTCGAATGCAAGTCGTTTTTTAAAAAAATATTTTTTTATCAGTTGTTGGCAAATTAGATGAAATCAGTTCAAATCATACAGAAATGTTTTCTCACTTAATGTTTAACACGGTTTGTACTTCTTAGGCAAGGTAATCAAGTTTATTTGTATAGCACATTTCCCCACACACCGGTAGAGTTTCGCTTTAAATTTGTTTAGGCTTGATGTTTTAAGTGTAAATATTAATTCGTTTTTCATTCTCTCTTTTTTTTCTTCTGAATACAAATCAATTTGACGGATTTTTGTGGAGCAAGGGGAAATAAAATACATGATTCTAGCATATTTTATGATTCTTAGCGTATTTTACGTTTCTGAATGTAATAAAATACTTTAAAGAAATATTTGTTTTTCTCTCACCAATGCAATTTTGACCATGTGCAACTTATTTTCCAGAAAACACAGTAGATAATGTGTTTAATGTCTCCTCTTTAAAACGAGACATACAGATTATTCAGAAAAATGCAGGACTTTGGGTGCGTATGAGCTCTGGAGCTGTCAATCGAAGTACGAGGTAGAGTGATTAAAAGGAACCAGAGCTGATTTAATGAGCCAGTTTCATTATACAGGCCGTGTGATGAGGCTTAATCTCTGGAGGATGTGATGTGCAGACATCCTAATCGCTGATCTTCAGAATGTAGGTAATATCAGGCATAAATTCGATCCTACAGGTTTTGTTGAGGGAAAAGGAAGATGCTCTCACTTCTTGATGAGGATGAGCTCGTCGTCACACACTCTGTCCTGCACCACCTCCTCAGCCTGACCCAGCATGGCCACCTCAAACGTCTCCTCTCCCTCCAGGTTAGACAGAGACGAGCACACAGTGGCTGTAGGGGAAAAATCAAAACAGTGTTCATCAAAACTAAGACAAAGAGAATAAATGACCTTCCAAGAACAGAAGGTCTAGATCTTCTAAGCTAAGACTGAAGTGCAAGTGCAGTCAGCTGACCCCCAGTTGCTTTGGCGATGCGCTTGAGGTCCCTCTTGAGCACCCTCCTCACGGCCATGGCTCCTACATCTACAAAGTATTTCAGACACATGTCATCAATGCCTCCTGTGGTCAGAATCACATTCGCTCCTGATGCCAGGATCTTCTGAATGCGCTCCTTCGTGATGTCTGATTCCCTGAGAAACAAA